TACTTTTAAGAGATTGAGATCAGAACTTTGCTTTACATCTGAAATCTCATTTTGAATTCAGATACACAATTACTCACAGACTCAGAGACTTAATTACACTGCCTTAGGATAGTATTAAAACAATAGTTTTAATTATTTTTTTTTCAGGTTACAAAAGATACCTGTTGTCTATACGGAAATGCAACATGAGTATATAGTCTTTTCCTAAACTTGCTACACGCTGACTTCAGAAAGAAGAAGGTCTGGATCAAACCACCTCTTTTGCCCTCATTATATTTAATGTAATTCTATGGATATCTTATCCATACCCTTATAACCTGTTTAGAAAACTGGAAAAGAATCCAAGAGGAACTGTTCAAGGGAGGCTGGGGGGTGTGGCACCACAGTGGTTTGGAAATATTCTGGGGTTTAAGACAGCAACACCTATAATTATGGAGGCGTCATCACCTCCATAAAAAAGAAAACAACAAAAAAAATAACGCTTTTACTAACCAGATGTAGTCATAGCATATGTACGCCCTTCCCCAAACCTGTCTGGCATTTGTTTCTGGCCTAGTGGGGAATATCTGCCATCTTTCTCTCCCAGCACTCATAAAACAATACAAAGGTAAACAATTGGAGTACAATTAGCAGTCTCATTGGAGTAGCAGGAGGGAGAAGTCACCCTGCGATTAATGTCAAAGGAATTAATCATGGTTTACAGAGATGATTTAGTGGCTTGAATTTGTAAGTAGTTTAAAAAAACAAGAAACTAACTAAGTTTGACTAAGGCTCGTTTTTAAAGGTGTGGGGATTGTATCCTGGCCAATCAACTTAATTTCATGTTTTAAACACTACAAAATACGTTGCTCATTGTACATGAAGGACTGCTGCAGGAGAATATGATATACTCGAGTCTGACATAAGTCTCACATTCTGTTTTTAATGTTTGCCCTAATGGTGAAGGGTTACCCTAAGTCAGTCACACTTTAACCTCAGCTCTTTTAGCACAATCAGCATCCATTGTGTGATGGCAGGGAACAGGGGTATACAGTGGACTCCTTCCCTGACACTAACTCAACCCACAAAGCAACTGGATGAAAACCTTGGCCAAATCATAGATCATGCATCACTCAAATGTCTAATTTAAAGTGTTTGTTTTTGAACCTCTCCCCGAGAATATTCAAACACACATGCATATACATAAACACATGTACACACCCATCCTACTATTCCAGGGAGGAAATGTAATCTTTTCAGGGGGAAGAGAATTGATACTTGTTTAGTTACATAATAGCAACATGGTATATTCTAACATATTTCAGAATTTCTTTATAGACACATATAACCATGTTGGTAAGCATTTATTTGCCATTCTTTTGGTTGTCACTGTGAGGAAATGGGGGAAGGGGGATAGATACTTTTGCATTAATATGATGTTAGGAGCATCTGTTTTTTTAAGTGAATATCTATTTAATTTTCTACCAAAAGGTGGCGTTCTACTCCTATGCCCTTTCTTTTCAACCCTTCTTGCTCTAATTTGCCAAAAAGAAACTTCCACTTGATTACTGATCAAGAAATCAAAATGTGCTCCATATGAATGCAACACGAGAGTGTTGAAAATGAACAATATGTTAAACTGTAGTTTAAGTTTCCTGCTAATATAGACCAAATGGATATGCAGTTCTTTAATAATGCAACACTAGACAGTTTCATATACAAAACTGACTCTAGTGTACCATAGGATCTGGAATGAGGGGTTTCCTTTTTATCTGTGAAACTTGTTGCAAACCTGATTTCAGTCCCAAATCTGAAGTGAATGTGTGTATGCATATATATATATATGCATGCATACATACACACATACACATATATACGTATATATATATGTATATATATATATATCTAAAAACGTAGAAATAGATTTATAGCCTATTCATGATCTTTTAAATCCTTGACAAATATAATAAAAACTGACTTCCTTATTTGAAAAATAAGGTGAAGGTGTGCGTTTGTTCTTATGGAATATTACTAGATTAGTCAAGCTAAAATAAATGGATATTTCCTCTTGATTGCATTGCTACAGCCCTTCATCTACTAGTGCTTTCAGGATCTGGCTCAAATGTTTAAGAACAAAAGGGTTGTTTTCTCTTCTCCAACATGCCCTATGGATTTGCATTCCATAGTTTCTTTGCTTCCTGCATTTGAAATACTCACTGATGTCAAGGAGAGTTTCATACAAGGAACATGTCCAGAACAGGTAATGAAGATGCATATCTTAGATAAGAGAGCCTCTGAAACATCTGCCCTTAGCTAGTTAACTCACCGGGAGTTCTGTCACTATACTTTGGAAAGGGTCCATCCTCCTACCAGCTCTTGACATTGACTTCATCAACCCAGGGAACTTTTTCTGTGGTTTGCCAGAAAGCCTGGCGAGGTTTAAAGATAAAGAGTGGTAGTTAACATATATTAAATGGTGGGGGAGGGACTGGAAACCCAGCCTAACTCTCAGGGTGAAGAACGTCCATAGGATCAAACCCACACCTTTATCTCTAGAATGGTGCTAAAATGATCTAATGATTGTGCGTCAGATAATATTGTGTAACCTTATACAACATACACCAAGTATGAATTACCTTGGCACAGGGTGCATTTGTAGTCTTCACCTTTTGGATTCATTTGATTTTTTTTTTTACTGTATTATATCCACTTAAAAATAAAGATACCACTTTAAAATGATACTCTTTACACCATCACTGAGTTGTTGCTTAAATTCTCCCATTGGCAAGCTATTATATGCAACAATATTGGAAAGAGACAAATTATCTGACCAAGACAATTTGGAATTTTAATTCAAGTAGTATTCAACAGGCAACAGGTAGCATGTGAGACTCTTCAGAGCTACATATCAAGAACATAAAAATATAACCAGAGAATTTTAGAAAAACAAGGCAAGCAAACCTCAGAGACAGAAATACTGTCACTTTTTTTTAAAAAGCATCTCCCCCCACATTTCTATTTTGAAGATGTTTATTATTCACACCATTATTAGTGTATTAGAGCTAAAGGAATAATGTTCTCCTGAGATTTCAAACACTGAAATTACTTTGTAGGATGCAAACAACTGCTTTTAATGTTATGGTTTTACATCCCTATCCCCCCAGTGGCCTAGTTTACCTTATATTCCATAAATGAAAATGTCTTTATCAAAAAGCTGGTTTGGAGTTTGGGCACAGAAGGCAATATTTATTAATTTTCTATAAAAATGATCCCTATTAACTACTGATTATAGAATTAAAGCAGAGATTTCATCATTTGTAACATGAAAATATAATATCCATTATTCTTCCTTTTTGCTTTGGGGATCTATATCTATGTGTGTACACATATACACGCACATTCCACTGACCTTCCTTGTTTTCATTTACCTATATGTCTGTGTAGATAGCTATAGATGTCTCTATGTGTGTACAGATGCATGTATGCATATATATATACATATTCACACATATATCCCTCTGCATAGTGCTTACTTCCAAACAAGTTTGATATCATTTTTTTTCAGCATTCTACCTTCTTCTCATCATCCAGCCATCCAGCTAAATTTCTCAAACCTATTGGAACTGAAGGATTACAAATACATGTCACCTTGTCTGGGAACTGGACTGTATGCAACAAAGCTTTCTGGGTATGACTGATATCTGCAGGAGCAGGCAATTTGTGTTAAACAACTAATTGGCATTCTAGCTCCTGGGCGTTTTCCTAAGAGGAACACAGAACAAAAACAAACAGCCGCTCGTGAACATGGACGTGGGCACTTTCTACAAACTGGACAGAACTACAGAATTCCTTCAGCAACTCTGAGCTGAGGTGGAGAAAGATAAGGCTAAGCCTCATCACATTTTCATCCTTCCTGACTCAAGGATGGAGACAGGGAAAGCCCTGGCTGGAGAGATTTCTGTTTCCTTGCAAACACGGAATTGTCCTTCTGCTGAACTTTCACCTCTCGAACTCGCCTCCTTTCATTGGACAAAGTGCAGAAAGAGAAGAGCCAGAGGAGGGAGGAAGGGGGTGGTGGTGGTGGAAAGAAAAAGCCTTTCCTTCAAGTACCACTGGTTGGAAAGCACTTTCACTTTTAACATCTCCTTTCTTCGGGCTATCAACCCCACCCCCCACCCCCGAATTTTCTGTTTTTATTTTAGGGAGGACAAAAATAAACAAACTATTTCTCATCCTCTTCGGCCCTCTCTCTGCATCAGTAGCTCTCCCCCTCTCCTCTCCAGTCCCTAAATTGGTCCGATTTCTTTTTCTTCTGAGCAATCTCAGTCTCTCTTTCCTTCTCCTCTGGCAGGCTGTTTGTTTTCCAGGTCTTCCCTGACCCGCTCCCAGCATCCCTCCCCTGCGCCTGCCCCTCTTGCCCCTTCTCCTTGGTCCTAGGGGCTAGGCCCGCTGCCCTGAGGCTCTCCCCCCTCCCCTCCTCTCTCCTTCCCCCTCTTCCCTCCGTTTTGCAATAGCGATATTTTGCACAGAGCCTTGTTTACCCAGCAGGTGGATGTGACGTCAGAGACTCACAACAGCAAAAAATAACAACATCTCCATCCGCGATTTGTTTTCCTCTCGGCTCGCTCCCCATTTATTTATTTATTTTGGGGGTGGTTGCAAATTCGAAAGTGGCCGGGAAGCCCTCCGAGCTGAGCCGGGGCAGGAACCGGGGCCGTGGGCCAGGGAGCGGGGTGCGTGCGTGTGTGCCTGTGTGTGTGCAGTGTGTGTGCGTGCGTGTGTGTGAGTGCATGTTTGCGGGTGGGGGAGGGGGGGTGCAACCTGGCCTGGCGCTTCCCATCTCCTCCCCGCCGCCGCCGCCACCGCCACCGCCACCACCGCCGCCACCGCCACCGCCACCGCCACTGCCTCTGTTGGGGCTGCAGGGGCTGGGGCTGCTGCTGCTGCTGCTGCTGCTGCTGCTGCTGCCGTTGCCGCCGCCTCCAACGCCGCTGCCGAGGGAGAGCTGGAGCCAGAGCCGGAGCCGGAGCCGGAGCCGGAGCCGGAGCCTCAGCCTCTCCTGGAAGCTAGTCCGGAGCGGAGGAATCTATTGTTATTTATTGTGTGGCTGTTGCATGCAGCAGCGACACAAGCCCTCGCCTATGAGTGTGTGCGTGTGTGCGCGCGGGTGTGCACGCGGGTGTGCGCGCGAGGGCGAGCGTACGTGTGTAAAGGACAGAAAACACCTTAGTTTGCACCGAGAGACCGTTTGCAGCGGGTGAGTTTGTATTTTTCCATTTCTGCTCCACTTTTCCAGCCGTCTCCTGCTTGTTTTCTCCACTTAAAACAACAACAACAACAAAACCCTCAAAAGAACCAAAACAGCAAAAAAAAAAAAAAAGAAAGAAAGAAAGAAAAAAGAGCACCCCCCACCCAACTACTTTTTTTTTTCACGTTCAGCCTCCACGTGTGTCTCCCTCTCTCTTCTGCCTCCCTCCTTTCCCTCAGTCTCTGTCTCTTAGGGGAATTTGGGGGGGGGCGCTGGGTGAAGGTCGGGGGGGGGGTGGTCCGCTGTTTGTGATGCTCGTGCATCTATCTGTATATTTGCATAAGTGTGATCCACAGCTTCTTGGTGGCGGGCCGGGCGCGGCGAGGAGAGGCGAGGCTCCCCGCTTGGCGGCGGCGGTCACCCCGCTCCCTGGGCTCGCTCTCCCGTTCCCCCCAGCCCCGCACCTCTTGGCCCTCCCGGCTTTCTGTCCACCTCGAGCTTCTCCTGCTTCCCCCCGTATTCGCTCCCCCCCTCACGTCTCGGGCTCTGGCTGGTGGACACAGTAGCTTCGGTGAAATAAACAAATAAAAGCGTAGTGTAACTTTAGATTCCCGGAGTTGGAGTCGATACTGTTGCCAGTTGAATGGAAAGTGGTTGTGGGCGCTGAGCTGAGCGAAGAGGGAGGGAAACGGGAGGGAGGGAGGAGCGAGCGGAGGTCTGGAGGGACTGAGGGGGCTGCTCCAGACCCGGGGAGGGTCGGCCGGGCCTCGGGCCTCGTGGGGGGTGGTGGTGGATGTCTGTGTGGGGCTGACTCGCTCTGCTGACAGTGACCGGGAGGGGAGGCGGGGACGCGACCACTCAAGCACCTTACTTAGGACTTTACGAAACTTTTTTTTTCCTTCCTGGGTCTGCCCCCTCTTAGTCCCACCTACCTCGTGGGCTCCAGCAGACAGGCCGCGGGTACCCACAAGGGGCACCCACTGGGAGACTCGTGCACTTTCACACTCACTCGCCTTTCAGCGAAAACATTCACCTCACACTCCCAAGTGTGCGCACGCACATTCACACTCTTCCCAGCTACTTTTGGACCGAATCCAGAGACACAACCATATTGACACACACACAAGCACACAAGCACACTCAAACAGCTGGGAGATTGGCCAGTCTCAACCCTTTCTCGCCAGAATTTCCAATGACCCTGTGAACTAGAGTCGCCTGTCATCTACGATCCCGACCATGATTGTGTGTGTGTGTGTGTGTGTGTGTGTGTGTATGTTTTCTCAGTCTGGCGAATTTCTCAAGTTCTGATAGCTATCCCTTATCAGATACACACGCGTCGCCACCTATCTCGGGTGATTATTTCGGACTGTACGGACAGGGGATCTCACCTTCTTCCCTCCCTTCCTCTGTGTCTGTCGGTCGGTTGGTTCGTCTGCCCCTCCCTGACTGCCCCCTCCTTCTCTTTCTCTCTCTCTCTAGGTCTATCTGTCTCCCAGTGTTGGTCGATCCCTCTGGGCCGACCCTTGTTTAGTAGCACCCGCAGCGGGCGGGCGCTCGCGGCGTTGCACTGTCAGCCTCTCTCCCGGCTGGCCTGCCCGCCTGCCCCCGCTGCCAGCCTGCCTGCCTGCCGGCCTCGGCTGCTGAAGTTGCTGCTGCTGCTGCTGCTGCTGCCACTGCAGCCGCAGCTTCGGCTGCCCCGGCGGCCCGGGGTCATTAGTCTGCTTAAACTCCCAGGCGCTGAGCCTGCCTCCCTCCTCCTCTTCCTCCTTCTCCTCAGCCTCACCCCCTTCCTTTCTCCCCCCGCAGACTTCCCCCAGTCCCTACACACTGGCGCGCGCGCGCACACACATATGCACACACACACAAACACACACACTCTCACATACTCTCTCTCGTCACACACACACTCTCTCACACACACCGCCAACAAACAGCGGAAACTTTGATATATACACACCCGTATATATTTGGGGGCATTTATCGAGCCTCGCAGACCCCCCTGCCCACCTGTTGTGATCTCCGCCTCCATCATCTACCCCGAGGGTGTCGGGGGGTAGGGACTCGGGCTGCCTAGGCTAGAGAAGCCAAATCACAGTCTCTCCCTAGTCCCCCCCCCCGTTTGCTGTCTAAACCTCCTCCCCTCCTCCGCCACCCTCCCCATTCACTCACCCCCCCCCCGGCCCCCTTACGAGAATCAGGACTAAATAAACGGTGGAAACTTAAGACCTTGAGCCAGGGACTGCTTCGCCCACCCCTCCCCTTCATTTTTTTTCCTATTCCTCCCCCCTTTTTGTTGTTGTTGTGATCGCAACTTTGTGAGAGAGGGGCCGAGGGGAGGGAGACTTTTCTGAGAGTCCCTGCCTGGATCTGTTTCCAGATCCCGATTCCTTTTACCAGGGAGTTCCGAGGCGTCTGTCTCCCACTCTTTCTCTGGCTCACTGCTACACACATACACACACTCACACACACACCCACACACACACACAATCTTGGACATTCTCCCATTATTTCTCCCCTTCCTCCCCCCCCCCCCCCAATACCCAAACCTGTGTTCTGGAGACTTGTTGCAAGCAGCCCTGGTCTCTGGCCGACCATTGAGCCGAAAGTTTGTCTGCAGGAGGAAACGACCGACCGGGCGAGCGCCCGAGGCAGCCCCAGCAGCAGCAGCAGCAGCAGCCGCCGCAACCGCAGCCGCAGCCGCCGAAGCAGTCCCAGCAGCAGCAGCAGATGGTGCTAGGGAGGAGATGGTCGTGCGGGCTCTTCTAGCCTCAGAGTGGGCATGCTAAGAGCTCTGCTGACCTGTCTCTCTGTTCCGGGTAAGTGGAGGACACTCGGCAGAGACTGAGACGTCTGGGATCGCAGGTCTGTGGGACCCTAGGAGAAGGAGGAGGGGGAAGATTGTGTGTGTGTGTGTGTGTGTGTGTGTGTGTGTGTGTGTGTTGGTGCGTACAGTTGGAAAAGCTGAGAACAAGGTTGGGAAAGAGCGAGTGCTTTCTTGCCACCAGACTTTACTCCTCTGGGTTCATTTAGTGATAAGGAGAAGGGAAACAGCAAAAGGTGCATCCTTCAGAGGATAGGTGTTTTTAAAAAATGGAATTTTCTCTTTTTTAAAAGCAGCCCATGGGGGATCAAAGTTTAGCTTCTATAGTATAAGTGGTGCTATAAAATACAGTGACATTCCTCTCCCCTCTTCTTACCCCCTCACTCCCCTATTTTTAACTATTAATTATTTCCAAACCATTGTGTTCAGATACCATTGCTGGGCTGATTACGAAGTATATTGATTTAGTCTGTGCTCATCTTACTAAATTTATTTTTTCTTTTACTCATCCAGAAAGATTGAAATGAAACTCCCCCCCCCAAAAAAAACCCTTCACTATGCTGAAGGATGAAATTAATACAACTGTTGAATTTGATTATTTCTGTGCTTTTGAAATCTACTTTGAAGAATTAGAGGTGAGCTGACATTCCCTCCCAGGTATCCTGTTAGGATTTAATTTCTTTGGACTGCCATTGAAATAAGCCTGCATATCTCAAAAACCCACACTCTCACACAGTACATGCTGTATTCATTATACAGGGATCCAAAATATGTAGACCGTATATACTTTACATTTAGTGATTCCTATTCTCAATAATTGCTATTGAACAGGGAAGCTGAATAAGTAAAACATCAATGACATTTAGGACATTGTGATTCTGGGAGTAGGGGTAACACCTCTTACCGATGGGGATGGCCTTCTGGAAATTTTTTTTTTCCATTGTGGTGGCCAGTTTTTGTTGAACCTTTTAATCAGGGTTTAAAAAGGAGATGGAAACTCTTCAAGCCATTCACTGCCATGTGGTAGGATATATAACTGAGGAAGAAGAGTACTTGATTTTTTTCATTGTTAGTGAGAGAAATGTTATATGACTTTTTTTCCCCCCTCCACTGGAGTTGTAACTCTCAGAGTAGACCTAGTCATATATTTTTTTTAAGTTCAGGACAAGAAGAATGGATTCCTGGTCACACACAAAAAAATTAGAATTTATATTCTCTTCCCCCCATCCCCATTCTCTTTATTTGAACTATCTAATAATTACACAGCATTAAAAACACACACACACAACCCCACTCAACTAGTTACCATTCATAAGGTGTCGGCTAAACTCTCATTGAAAAAAAAAATAGGTATTGTAGCTTTAACGTCTTGCCTTGGTAGCATTCTTTCTTCTTAGTCTTTGGATTAGTCATTGTATGAGAAAGAGAAAAAAAATCACTTTTTTTGGGGGGGGGTGGAGAAAGTAAAGTAAACAGCCTTCAACAAGTGAACCTTGACAACCCAGATTAAGGAAGGCAGTGGAGATCAAACAAAGCTGCTGCTGGGCCGTTGTCAGGGGCGGCCTCAGGGAAAGCTCTGTACTGTGCCATTAGGCAGCCAGACTCTATGTTCACTTATGCAGAAATGGACCATTGCAAATGCTGATCTTTGTTGGGCAACTGAAGGTTAACTTGGAGAGAAAGATCTGTAGTCTCTTCAGTCGTTATTTTTATTTCTTTAGCTTTCTGAGTGGCTAAACAAGTTAATTTTTAAAATGGCCTAGGACTGTGGCAATCTGAACTCCACCCAGAAATAATAGCAAGAGTAGGTCTTTGCATTCTGATATGAGTTGAGCTACTCAGAACCACATAGTGGAATTCTTGTCTTTCACCAAAATTACACTCCCCAATTAGAGTTTACTAAAATTCTCTCGTCTCCAGTCTGAAAAAAGATCTGTATTGTTAGGGGAGGGGTGGGGTATTTGATGTGGCAGAGTGAAAGTGATGTTCAACAGAAGCATTTCATGCTGAAACAGTTTGGGGTTGGTCAGTTTTTGATTTTTTTTTTAAAAGGCAAAGTAAAAATTTCAAAAAATACCATATTGACTTCTCAGCATGTCATTAAGCATGGCCACTTTGCAACTTTTATTCAAATTCTTTGAAACTTGTCTTTGCTTGTAGACAAGGAAATGTAATTGCCTTACATTTT